CAAAAAACCACAAAAAACTGTAAAATATAAATCTAAGAATAGCACTAACTTATTATATAATTTTATTTTTAAAGTGTACATACTCTCTTACTCTTCAATTTGCATAGCAATTTTGGCATGATTCCATCATTATGTCATGAATTAATGGTCAAAATCATAGTGTTAAAAAAAAATATAAAAAAAAAAAGAGCTTACCATATTATATACACTTATTATAAAATTATATTGAGCATAAAAAATTTTGTAATCGGCCCTCTACAACACCCTACTTCGTATTTGATAAAATTGTATCTCTTATTTTATAAAAAAATATTGAGAGAGCATTCGCGTTGCAACATTATAGGAAGCATTCGCATTCAAATAGTTATAAGAACCAATATGTAATTAAATACATTCGCAAACAATATTTGTTAAGCCGTCTTAGCTCAGTGGTAGAGCGCGTGGCTTTTAACCACGTGGTCGTGGGTTCGATCCCCACAGACGGCGTTACTTACAGCCTGCTGGCTTATTTTAACGCAGTTTTGGGCTTGTCTGGGCTTCTACGGCGTTGCTTACAGCCTGCTGGCTTATTTTAACGCAGTTTTGGGCTTGTCTGGGCTTCTCCGGTGTCGGCCCAATTCAAATATATATTTACTCGTGGTGTGAAATATGTTGGCAAATTATAATTTAATAAAAGAAACGGCACCTGTTTTGCACAATTTTTTTTTAATGAAAGAAATGGCACATGTTTTGCGCTATTCTGTAAAAAATAATTTTATTGTTCAGTTTCATTTTATATACATTGCAGTTTCAGTTCAACACAATTACAGTTTCATTTCGATATTTATACACTCAAATATATGAAAATATTATTTAATTTTATTTTATATACACTACAGCTTCATTACAATATAACTACATGATCATTTCGATATAACTACAGCTTCATTGCACAATATACACTCAAATATGTGAAATGTTATTCAGTTTCACTTAATATACACTGTAGTTTCATTTCAACACAACTACAGTATTATTTTGATATAACTATAGTTTCCCTAGGTAATATACACTCAAATATGTGAAATTGTTATTCAGATTCATTTTGTATACACTGCAGTTTTATTTCAACACAACTACAATTTCATTTCATTTCAATTGCAGTTTCACTTTATAATATAAAAATAATACGTGAGGCAGTGTCAGTTTAGATACACTATAGTTTCAGTTGATAATTAATATCCAAAAAATACACGGTCCATTGACTCTAATGGCGCCGTTTTTTACCGTGCACCGCGGTTCACGATATAACGACCAAAATTATATAATGCACCGCGGTGCATAATCGATTGTGCACCGAGCTTCAAAACGATGTCATTTTGTTTAACAAAAAGAAACGGTACCCGTTTCGCGCCGTTCCACAAAAAGTAACTCTGTTATTCAGTTTCATTTTGTATACACTGTAGTTTCATTTCAACACAACTACAGTTTCATTTCGATATAACTATAGTTTCATTTTGATATAACTACAGTTCATTCGATATTATAACACTCAAATATGTGAAAATGTTATTTAGTTTTATTTTATATACACTATAGTTTCATTAAAACAAAACTAAATTATCATTTTGATATAACTACATTTTCTTTGCAAAATATACACTCAAATATGTGATATGTTATTCAGTTTCATTTTATATACATTGCAGTTTCATTTCAACACAACTACAATATTATTTTGATATAACTACAGCTTCATTGGGCAATATACACACAAATATATGAAATTGTTATTCAGTTTCATTTTGTATACAGTGCAATTTCATTTCAACACAACTACAGTTTCATTTCAATTCAATTGCAATTTCACTTGATAATATAAAAATAATACATGAGACATTGTCAGTTTAGTTACACTGTAATTTCAGTTGATAATTAATACACTAAAAAATATGCGCTCTGTTAATTATAACGACGCTGTTTTGGGACCATGGTGCACAATTTGTACACCGCAGTCCACGATATAATTGCTGAAATATGTTATTTGACGATCAATAGTTGCACAGCAGCTTGACACGTTCCTTTGACTTTTAAGTACGTGATATTTTGCTGGCACGTACATATCATTATACTTGTTATTTTGAAAATCTATATTTGAGTAATTTGACTAGAGCTTCTTTTATTATTATTATTATTATTATTATTTTATTTTTAATATATTTGATAGATGCATAGTGATCTTTGGAGAACTAAAAGCAAGTATTTATTTATGAGTTAATATTCAAAATCGTCCTCAACTATAGTGGTTTTTCTCAATTTCGTCCTAAACGATTTTGGTGACCTAATATCGTCCCAGACTTTTGTGTTTCGCTCAATTTAGTCCTCTATTTGTTATTCAGTCAAATTGGTGTTAAATAAAGGGACAATTTAGTAATGTCAATATTGATCTCTCTTTACTTTCAACTTGTGAAGTGCGAAATTCCTCTTTCTTGTACGAATTACACTCAGAATTACTCCCGGACCTGCAAATTAAATTTTATATTCGCAGTTTTAGGAGTAATTCTGGAAGTAATTCGTAAAAAAAAAAAAGGGATTTCGCAGTTCACATGTCTATGAGTAAAGAGATGCCAATATTAAAATTACTGAATTGTCTATTTATTTAACACCAAATGGACAGAATAACAAATGAGTGACTAAATTGAGCAAAAACACAAAAGTGTGGGACTAAATTGAGCGAAACACAAAAGTCTGAGACGATATTAGGTCACCAAAGTCGTTTAGGACGAAATTGAGAAAAATCACTATAGTCAAGGACGATTTTGAGTATTAACTCATTTATTTATATTTGGATACGATTACTTAACATGTTTTATATTTTTCCTTCCAATGAATTTACTTGGTGAGTTAGGGATGGTGTTATTGTAAATATAAATTATTGACAAAAAAATAGTTCTAAAAAATATATAAATTGGCCCTTTACGATCAACAGATAATGTAATTAGATCTTCTAAATGAACGCTACCATAATTTTTTATTTGATTGTCTGTTTCGTTTGGAGGTTCGATTATATCTGTTCTATTTGATGGACAGCACCATCGGTGGCCGTAACGTAACAAAAGATGGTCATAACTCATAAGTACTGGAAAGATGGGCAGTAACTTTTTAAAATAAAAATAAAATAGTTAATACCTCAAATGGTCTTCCGAGTATTAGCCATATACCAGTTGTGGTTATCCAACTTTTAAACGATCACGAGACTTCCTCCAAGTTTTAAAAAGTTACCACATGAGGTCCTCCGTTATATTTTCTGTCAAATAGGCGTTAAGTTGAGGGCAAACTTGTCATTTCCCTTTTCAGAGTTAAAAAAAATAAATAAATAAATAAAAAACTAATGGACACTAAGTGAGATTGATACGTAGTATATTTGCAAACAAATAATACTCGGAGTACGAGTTATCGATCCACAGGGAAGTGATTGTATCAAGCACTAGTTACTATTTATTCATTAGAACTAATCCTAACAATTGTTTAAATGATTAATTTGCATAAAATAAATAAAATAAAGCAGAGATTCAGGATTTTGAAAACAATTAGAGAGAAGATGAGATTCCTAGGATTCAATATTTAATCACCTAGTGCTAAATCTTAAGAACAATATTAAAATCTAGGTTTAACAAGTGTGAGGATGCAAGGTGGTATAGAGCTACTCTCGTAGTCAGTAACACTAGTGAATTTCCACTCTCGTGGCTTAAACACCCAATAAACACAAGATCAAGCATCATAAATTCCTAACTACTACCATCTCTCGATGCGCAATAATCAAGAATTAAACTCCCTAACAAAATTACCATTTCTCAAGGTGCAACAGTTAAGTGCAATTGTGTGTGCCCTAAATTATGCCCGACTCTCGTTGTGACACAAAGATAGCAAACGTAAAAAGTAACTGTGGCCACTAATTACAAGCATCAAACAATAAAATCACAATTGCAACACAAGCATTAAACCCAAATAATAATATATTAAAGAATCTAAGAGCTCAGGCACATAGGTTCATAAACACTTTTACCCAAGAATCTCTAAAGAATTTAGCCATGCATGGCTAAATTATAGATAGCAAATATTAATAAAGAAAATACAAATTATCAAAAGAGTACAAGAATGAACCAGACGATTCTCTCAAATCTCCATAGTCTTCTTCTTGCTCCCCAAAACAAATTGTGGCTCTTGATTTCTCTCTGTCTTGTCTCCAAAGAACTCGATTTTATAGCTAGAAACCCGGAACCAGATTAAAATAGGAGTTATGTACAAAATTAGACTGAAATTATATCTGGGCCAAAATTGGAATTATTTAATTAATTGAAAATTGCTGCCTTTGATTTGGAAATTAGCTCCCTTTTTTATTTAGAACTAGTCACTAGTACAAAATGAAACATACGCGTCTTTACTTAATGGCCAAACGCGTCTTTACAAGTAAAGACGCCTATGGCCCACGGAAAGCTGGCAACTTTACGCGTCTTTACTTGGAAGCCATGTAACGGTAGACTATACGCGTCTTTACTAGGCTAAGTAAAGACGCGTATTGTTTTTAACAAAAATAAAAAAAATAACAATAGGCGTACCTTCACGCCTATACTTATATTTTTTCTTTTGATATTTAATTTAATTCAATAGTATATTTTACTAATCCCTGCTCAACAGAAAATTTCACTACCAAATAAATTTATATGGTTCAAACCATTCAACACAAAATATATATATATATATATATATATATATATATATATATATATATATATATATATATATAGATAAAATCCAACATACATAATTTCTTAACACAATCCCAACATTATTGTAGATATAAGATTAACACAAGCCCACAATTCTTATAAGAAAGGGAAAGGTACCAGTAATGACGATGAGGCTGCAATTCAAGGCAATGAGAGCTCTGAGGCAGGATAAATCTTGTCCTTTAGATCACAGTGTGATTTGTTTACTTTCTGAAGTTGAACCATCCAGAAAGATAGATCTAGGCACACCCTCTTGTTCCTCTTCAGCAAAAATATTAACATCACAAAATGACAAATTTTAAAAATTTAAAAGTGATCACAGCCTACCAATAGAATAAAATAGAATGAAAAAAAAAAAGTAAAGCAACAATCCTACCAGTAAGACGGAGTTCAATGATCTATTTCCATGCATAAGTTACATTCATTAAGGTATTTTTAAACAGCACCTTCCTAGGCATCGTGGTCCTGCCATCCTTACTAAAGACCTAAATACACATTCAGAATGGAACAATAATTGAAAAAGCAGAAACACTACACAGCTAAAAATATAATAAGAGAAATCAAAGAAAAAAAAAATATTTTTTCCAGGAATTCAAGTTGGCCTCTTACCTGCTCACCTTCAATACTAGCAATTTCAACAGTTTCCCTTTGTGATTATTATTGGAAACAGAGGTGGCATCTTGCTCAAGTGCAGGGGAATGTAATGCACATGCAATCTTTAAGCTTTGTGAGGCTGAAAACAACCTTGAAACGACACTAGGTACGACATCTGTTCTGGAAATAAAAAGCACTTCTAGTGCAAAAAAACAAAAGCAACAATTAGTGCATTCATCCCAATTATAACAAAGTCAAGGGATCATTTAGTCCAGTGTTGTTCCATGTCTAAAGTAATGTTATATAAATTTGGCTTAACAATGTGCCATAGATGTCTTAAAGAACCATGATAGAAAGATTCTTCTCAATTATCTGCTCTAAATAAATACAAAATAAATATTAGGAAAAAAAATACAAGGCACATATCTTCACAGTAGGAGGGGCACCATAAGGTAAAATGCATATCAATGGTTTTTAGTGCAATTTTAACCAATTGTTGAAGAGAGGGGGATGGAAAGGATATATTATTTTAGTAGTATGTACCATAAAAACCATTTTGGTGGAGTTGCTCAATATATTTTGATGGTATAAGTAACCTCTATACAGAAACATGGAGCTTGCATACTTCTCTAGTTGGGAAAGTTTCCATAAGACCATAATATACAAAGCAGTTAAATTTCAAAAACATAATAGCATGGTTGGTTCATAGAATAAAAATTAGGGGGAATGGTATTAGGATTTCATAGGTTTCTATCTTTGGAGCTTTGAACATATTACAATGCAGTTTGTGAACTTTTTATGAAGAAATGTTGGAGGGAGCTATTTTGTACTTGATATAATTTTTTCTTTCTTAATTTCTTTTTGATAACTAGTGGTTCTTAGCATTCAAAGAAGCCCCTGGGAGGTGCTCAAAATTCTCTACAGAAAAACTATACAGTAGGCCAGTTCTGAACGAGCTTATGAAGTCCATGAGTTCATCAAATGATTGTATATAACCAACAATCATATTTGTGTTTTTGTAGTTTCCGAATTGAAAAGACACATAGTTGCAATGAAAGAAAAGATGAAAACATAGGCAAAGTTCACTAAAAAACGCCAACAGCTTGGTTGAGAGTTCATATCCTAAACTCCTAAAGGCTCGAGCTTTAAACACAATTCTTCTGAAGGATTCTCACATCAAGCTCACAACAATGGAATCACAACTAAAACTCAAAAAGCAAAGCCCAGAAATTACCAGGGACAATAGCAAATTGGCTTGCATGTGTTCCCCTTCGGCAGCTGCTATTCCACAACACGTTCGACCTGCTTGCTGCCTATGGCGTAATACCCAGATGCAGGCTGCTCAACAGATAAGCCATCAAATGCCCCAAAGTCAACCTAGAAACAAAATCTACTAATCTGCTCGTCAACCTTAAACCCTAGGATTTTCAATAAATTTTCATTTCAAAAAGTACATAAATGAACAAAAACAAGGGAAATCTTCACAACAAAGAATGATCACCGGAAGGAGGTACTGATTAGGGCAGTAACGCCGCTGCTGCCGCTGTGACGAGGATCTGAAGCCGCTGCTTGATGTAGAACACGCCATCCTTGATGTGTTGGTCGAAACTGAAGCTGTCGTCGGCCCTCACGCTAGATCTAGAGGATCTAAAGCAGGTTTTGAATCTGAAACAGCCGCCGCGACGAGGAGATCTGAAGCTCGAAAGACGAAGAATGTTGTCGCACCGCTGCTGCAGTCCATCACCGCTGTACGTTCGTCGCAGATCCGAAGGAGGAAGAATGAGGAAGGAACGAAGAAGGAACTGCAAGTGCCTGAGCTGCTACTGCCTCGCTCCTATACGGCCCGCTTAGGACGGAACGAAGAAGAAGATGAAGAAGCTCAGGAAGAACGAAGAAGCTTAGAAAAAAATCTAACAATGAAGAAGCAAGACTTAGAATTTTCTTTTTCAACTTTTTAATGTAAGGCTATACAAGTCTGGACTAATATATCAAGCAGTGGATACTATGATAATTAAAAAAATAACAAAAAAATCACGAATACTCGTCTTTACAATAGTAGTAAAGACGCGTAAAGAATTCCAAATATTTAAAAAAGTCACCGCGCTATTTTTTTACTTACTTGACGCGTCTTTAGTTGTAAGTAAAGACGTGTATTGTTACATATTTTTGGTCAATTCTATACTAGTGAGTATTTGCGCCCGTGCGGATGCACGGAATGAATTTGTTGTAATATATTAAGAAAATTTGGATTGATATATAATTATTTAAATTAGAACATCAAATATTATATAGTGCAATTGAATGTATGGTTTGGATCATTTATGTGTTTTTATGTTATTAATTGCTCAAATTAATAGCTAATATGTAGATGTACGCATGCGGTGCTGTAACTATGGAGATTTTATTTATCATTGTTCAGTACTTTTATAAATTAGTCAAATGTGCTCGTTCTCTAGCAACTCAGTTATAAAAATGAATTGATATCCTAATTTATTTGTATGGAAAATATATTTTTTGTCTAGATATATAGCAATTTTGCCATTTAAAAAACTATAATATCACAGATTGTATTTACATATTATTGAAACCTCTTTGTAGACAACATTAGTAGTAACAACACGATCTTGTCTATCTTCGTCTAGAGCTAACACCTTTAGTCCAAAAGGATGGATGACTCGGGTGAAAATATATAATGGTAGAATTTCAGTCAATTAGGGATCCTTTTATATTTTCAGTCAATTAGTAATATCAAATTCATTTTCAGCCAATTATTCTTTTTTATTTTAAGTCAATTAGTCAATTAGAATATTAGATGCATTGATATTTTTACCTAATTTCTGTTTCAGTTTTAATTGATGATGTAGAATATTTTTATTGAAATATTTTCGTTGTATTTTTAATTTACTTTTACTATTGTTTAAAATATGCATTTACTATTGATGATGTAGAATATTATTATTGAAATATTTTCGTCCAATTTTTAATTTCTGTTCCATTTTTTAATTAAAATGCAATGATCTGTCAATTTATTTTTTCATTTCAATTATGGATCATTGTTTATTTGTAGTCAATTATTAATATTCATTTCCTTTTATAATTTCAGTCAATTAGTAATATCAGATTCATTTTCAGGCAATTATTCTTTTTTATTTTCAGTCAATTAGTCAATTAGAATATCAGATGCAGTGATATTTTTACCTATCCGAACCATTTTTAATTGATGATGTAGAATATTTTTATTAAAATATTTCTGTTCCATTTTTAGTTTACCTTTACTATTGTTTAAAATATGTCTTTACCATTGATGGTGTAGAATATTATTATTGAAATATTTCCTTTTCATTTTTTATTTACTTTTACTTGATGATGTAGGATATCATTATTGAAATATTTCCGTTCCATTTTTAATTTCTGTTCCGTTGCTTAAAATTGTGAAATATTTATGATATAATTGTGATTTGATTTATTCTACTATGTAATATTATTGTGAAAAGTTAAAATGCAAAAATCTGACAATTTTCTTTTCCATTTTAGTCAATTATGGATCATTTTTTATTTTCAGTCAATTATTAATATTCATTTCCTTTTCCAATTAACCTAATTTCTGTTTCTTTTTTCATTTTTAATTTTCAGTCAATTATTAATATTCATTTATTTTCTAATTTACCTCATTTTTGTTCCATTTTTAATTGATGATGATGTAGAGAATTATTGTGAAATATTTATGTTCCTTTTTAAATTTACCTTTACTATTTACTATTGTTTGAGCGGGAAATCAAGTAAATAGAATTTTGTTTTTAGTTATAATATAGATTTCCCAGCAATCCAAACACTCCCTTAGTATCCCATCAAAAAATGGATAAAGAAAAGTCATTTCATTAAGAAAATTAAAACTAATTAAATTAAATCTAATCATGCTATATTTATTTGTAATTGTATATTAATTTCATTTTGAAATCATTGGTTCACATATTTGAATTATTTATTTTTTCTTTAATTATTATAAACAGGAATGATACTGTACTAATTAATTTATGACAGTTATCAAATTGTATTTTTTAAAAATATAAGACTTACACATGTTATGAGGGGTTAAAACATATTTTAAAATTATTTTTTATTAGTAAGTATTTTTATTTTTTAAATATTTTTCAGCGACCCACACACTCCCTTAGTCTCCCATAAAAAATTGATAAAGAAAAGTCATTTCATTAAGAAAATTAAAACTAATTAAAGAACATCTAATAATGCTATATTTATTTGTAACTGTTTATTAATTTTATTTTGAAATCATTGGTTCACATATTTGAATTATTTATTTTTTCTTTAATTATAATAAACAGAAATGATATTGTACTAATTAATTTATGATATTTATCAAATTGTATTTTTAAAAATATAGTGTTTTACCGGCAATTTATATCATGCACCAGGGTGCGCATTGCATTGTGCGCCTTGATGCAATACATATCTGTATAAAAAAATACACATAATTGTATAAATAAATACATATAATTGTATAAACAAACACACATAACTGTATAAAAAAGAATACACATAATTGTATAAAAAAACACACATAATGATATAAACAAATACACATAATCACGTCAACCCCCTTCCGCGCCTCTCAAAACGACGTCGTTTTGGGAGACGCGGGACACACAGTGCTGCGCACGCCATGGTGCAGGGTATAACGATTATGTTTTACCCGTGCGTTGCATTATTTTTTTTTTTATGAATTTAAAATTTAAAATAGAAAACAATGAAAATATATTATAATGTACAATATAATAATATAGTTGGACTTTTATATATTTGGTCAAGTATCTATTTTCACAACATACAACATTTAAATTTAAATTTTGTATGGTTAATATTTTTTGGTGTGAGAATTTTTTTTTGTATGGTTAATATAATCTCTAATCATGTACATATTTAGATAAATTTATTAAAAAAATTCACATAATTAAGTTTATTTATTCCTAATTGTATTTCATATATATTATAATTCTAAAAATATGAACACTAACTAAGAGAATTGTAGTTAGAAATCAATAAAAAAAATGTAAATTCTAAATTTTGTATCAACAAATTTAAACTCTAATCAGACACATTTCCTTATATGATTGCATAATACATTGTTGATGGATTTAATTAACCCGGGGGTGTGCCCGAATCAATAAATCCGGATAAGAACGTAATATAATAAGAATAATAAGCGAATAATATAGAACGATGCCGTAAAGGTCGCTGGGGACCGTATATTATTTTAATTGCCGTAGTATTTGGCTATTACAAAGATTCGATAGGACAAAGTGTGTAATAAGTGTAGAATATGTAATGAATCGCCCTTTGTTAGGACAAGGAGGGGGGTTTTTATACAAGCCAAACCCCCCAACCGCCTCCCCTTAAATCGGGGGTGGTTAGATCTCAAGTTTGACTGGGCCCGGGTGGACCGGGTCGGGTCGGGGCCCGAGCTCGGGTGGTGCCGGGCTCGGGTAGGACCGAGCTCCACGTAGGTCGGCTCGGGTCGGGGCACCTCCAATGTGGTGCCCCGGGTCCATGTTGCTCCTGGGCACCTCCATGGTCCCCCAGGTCCGTGTTGCTCTTGGGCACCTCCGTGGTCCCCCGGGTCCGTGTTGCTACCCCGGGTCGGGTCGTGGGTATAATATATCCATCATGAGTCCCCCACTCTCTTCGTTGCGAGTGGAAGTCAACGAATGAGAGTATCCGTACGCCGACCCGAGCCCCTTGGGTGGAAAATTCCGAGCTCCAAAATTTTAGCCGAGGTGCCTTATGCCAAGGCGTCTTGGGCCGAGGTGAGACGTCTTGGGCCGCTCCACCTCCTTGCTCCGCGCCTTCTTCACGCACGTGGCCCGAGCTCAAAGTAGCCGACCTTGTTCTCCCTTGGTGATGTACCAGACTTGTTATTTTGACTACTCAGGTAGCACAAACTTGTTTCCCTGTTTTGCCATGAGCCATACTTGGATGTTATGACTATTGCCCCTTTGCTTTGGCGACGTAATGGTTGCCACCTTCTACCTGCTATCACCCTTCTTTGAAATACTGGTGTTTTTTTTTTTTTTTTTTGCCACCCCGGCACCAGCCGTGGTGGACCTCGGCAGCATGCCGAGCTGGGAGCTTAGGCCTATTTTTTTTTTTATTGGCCATGTGTTAGCCTCTTCAACAAAGTCCTATGAGACTATGTCATTGGGCTCTCCCGTCGGGGTTGGTACGCGAGGCCGGACCTCGTGCCCCCTTAGGGTACGTTAGCCTCTCGTGCCCCCTTAGGGGTGCGCCAAACCGCTTGGGCCCAGTCCTGCCGGACCAAACCACCGGGCTCCTCCGTCGGGGTTTGTACGCGAGGTTAGACCTCGTGCCCCGTTAGGGTGCGCGTTAGCTGCTCGGGCACAGTCCGACAGGACTGTGCCACCGGGCTCTTCCGTCGGGGTTGGTACGCGAGGTCGGCCCTCGTGCCCCCTTAGGGTGCGTCCTCCGTCGGGGTTAATACGCGTGGCTGGACCTCGTGCCCCCTTAGGGTCCGCGGGGGGGAAGACATGAGTGAGCACTCGTTCCCCCCTGTTTCACGATTTTTTTCTTTTTTTTTTTTAAGGGAGATAAAATGCATGAGAACCAACTTTGTATCAAAAAGGTCCTGCGCACAATATGTTCTGTAACATGCGATTTTATTCCGACTATTGCCGCTCACTAAGACATTATTAGGGGAGGGGAATGGTCCTCCTCCTAGAATAGCAACGCCAAGACCGACCTCTCACGTGGTAGATCTACTGGTAGAATTTCAGCAGGTGCTCTGAGTTCGAGACCCTGGCTATCATCTTTCCTTTGGGAGTTTTG